AAGATCGCCATCGCCGTCGACCTCAGCGACGAGAGCGCCTTCGCCGTCCGGTGGGCCCTCGACAACTACCTCCGCCCCGGGGACACCGTCATTCTCCTCCACGTCCGCTCCACTTCCGTCCTCTACGGCGCCGACTGGGGATCCACCCCCACCTCCGCCGCCGCCGTCTCGGCCCCCTCCCTTCCCTCCCCGGAGACCTCCCCTCGGCGGATGATGGAGGAGGAGGAGATCGACAGCTTCACGGCGGCCAAGGCCGGCCGCCTCGCCCAGCCACTGGCGGACGCCGGCGTCCCGTTCAAGATCCACGTCGTCAAAGACCACGACATGAAGGAGCGGCTTTGCCTGGAGGTGGAGCGGCTGGGGCTGAGCGCCGTCGTGATGGGGAGTAGGGGAATCGGGGCCCTCCGGCGGAGCAGCAAGGGGAAGCTCGGCAGCGTGAGCGACTACTGCGTGCAGCACTGCGCGTGTCCCGTGGTGGTGGTCAGGTACAATCAGGAAGAAGAGGAGAAGGCGGCCGCCGTTGAGCAGAACGAGTTTCACGATGCTTCAGATCAGCAAAATTGAGAGGTGAGGTTTTGATTTTGATATTGTCTGCATTGTGTTTTAAAGATTATGTCTGAATGGCCGTTTTTGTTTTGATTTGTTGATCATTTGGGAAGCTAAGGTTTTTACGGTTATAAAGATGAAAATTCAGCCAGAGGAGAGTTGATTTGGTATGTTGATATTGGCATATGAGAATGTCGGTATTATGTGGAAATTTCATCAGAAAATGACTAGTCGAAACTCGAATGGTGTCCTTTTTGTACAACTTTCAATACCAAATTCATCTTAGCGAGGTGGAAAACGTTGATGATAATATGAATTCCTGCTGGGAAAGAAGTGATTATGCTTTTTGAGAGTTTGTGACTTGAGTTATATATCTTATTTTAATGTAGGATATCATTTTTTCTTTATTGTTTGATAGGATCTCATTATCCTCTTTTAGATATACTTGTTTGGCCTTAGATACATCATAATCCTCATTTGTGTTCTGCAGTGCCAATTGAAGCAATTTTGGGCAGGGACTACATGAATCCTTTCTTCTTTTCATTTTTTATTGCCATTTTGTTTTATTTCAATCACTCCTTTTGAAGTAGGCAAAAAATGTATTTATTACTTGTCACAAAAATTTGCTGCTATATCTGTTCTATTATGGGTGTAAATCTTGACAAGTCAATAGTGGATGAGTGGATTATTCTCTGTAGTTGATTACTAAGAGATAATATCAACATTTTACATCGACTTGGTCTTATCCGGAGTATAATGTAGGAAGAATGTGTTGTTTGTTCATCTAAGTTGAACACGACGAGTTGCCGTAAGCTCGGCTCGACTTATTTAATAGAGCTTGTATAGCTTTAACAAGTCGAGCTCTCTCTGCTTATTTAGGCTCGAACTCACCTCACCTCGTTAATGCTGATAAACGAACTGAGTTCGAGCTCATTAATTAGCCATTGGATCTGCTGCATCGAATGTCAGGTTCTTTAATTTGAATCTCTTGTTAGGCGCGCGCTAGCCCTGTTTTCAAGAAGTGAAATCATCTCAATGATCGACCGGATCAATGCAGAGGTCATAGCTTGGAATGCGCTATTGATAACCAAAAAAAAATCCTGAAAGAAGTTTCAAAAGAAATGATTGTCGAAACTAGAGCCATTGAAAAGAAATTGAAGGCTTGGTTAGGCCATTATACTCTGTGTGTATATGGAAAATGTCATACTTCAAAAAACATCTAAAACAACACATATAACATACGTGTTAGTCAGCCTAACCATTAGGCCGAAACTCTTTTCACAAATATACATATTTTTCATAGAACATGTCATACTTTAAAAAGCATTAAACATAACATAGTGTGACACTTGATATTATAACTATGCATTTTTGTTCATAGAGTACGAAAAGTCGACCTGCCTAATAATTAGACGACGTCTATACATGACCACGGGCCGAACTGGCCTGTTGCAGACGAGTCTGTGGTTTGACCGGCTAGTTCTGGGCCACATATATATACTTTTTGAACCGCCGAGCAGGTTCTGAATCGGAATTTGAACCGGCCATTTGGCCCTACTTTTTATTATTATTATTAGTTTTTAATGAATTGAGCTAGTACCGTCGATTCACTGAATCAAGTTCTGGTCAGTTTAGGGTCATCCGACCCTTGGCCAGGAACTGAATTTCGCCATGTCTAACTACTTCACACAAAAATTTGCGACAATAATTAGGGTTTGCAAAACATGTACGGAAATCGAAAAAACATAAGCGAACTTGACGATTTTTGTGCAATTCAATGCGGTTAATTTAGTGCTGAAAAATTTTGTATGCCGTGAGATACGGTTAAGTTTATATTTTTGGAAAAAATTTGTATCCAAACATGCACTCAATTTTATTTTTGTATATAAATAAAAAATGACACTGAACTCCACCGTTAATCACCCCAAAAAACTAACAAAGAAAATGAACGGATGAATAGAATCATACATCCGGAGGCTCGCCTTTAACTGCCGCATTTTCATCATACGAAGAGCTTTCCGCCTGAATCTTCCTCTTGCGAACTTCTCCGTAGAAGCACAGCTGGCAGATAGCCACGGTGGGTTCCAAGCTGGAGCCGGCGGCCGACCACGTCAGCAGGGACTGGCACACGTGGCAGAGCAGGTTCCTCGAATGGCGTGCCGAGAGGAAGTTGGCCGAGTGCACCTTGGCGTCGCAGTCCCAGCATAAGCTCGCCTGGTCAGCCCAGCAGTGTATCCGCGCCACTTGTTTACACAATTCGCATTGTTTTTTCATCTTTTTGTCCAAGCAGAGATTGAACATAAAATGCGTGAAAATAGCAGAAAGGAGACAATGTGTAGTGTGTGCTGAATATTTTAAAGTGGTCGTGTGGTGACGTGGCAGAATCATGAACTACGTGGAGAATGCTAGAGCTACGATAATGTGATGTCAATTTTCTTTTTTTCTTTGAAAGATAATTATTATATAAATAAAATTAAAATTAGTAAAATGTTTAGACACACGTCCTTTGAAAATACACAATTTTATGAACACAATTAACACACACAAACGCCCACCATACAAGGATAAAATACTCTAATACAGTACACAATTAAGTCTCGAGTTCAGCTCGAGTTCAAGACCTTAACGAGCCGAGCTCGAGCTCATTTAAAGCTCGTTTAGTTAACGAGTCGAGCCGACATTAAGGCTCGAAAAGAGAATTTTTATATAATTCTTTATAGTTCGGCTCATTAAAGCTCGAACTCGGCTTATTAAAGCTCGAACTCGAGACCTTAACGAGCCGAGCTCAAGCTCGATTTTTTTTGACTCGTTTATTTAACGAGCTGACTCTAATTCGTGGAGTCTCAAGATTTGCTGTCCCGTGTAATGCCCACTAAAGGATAAATTTGATTCTACCCACGAGAAGAGTTGCATTACATAAAATCAACACACATTCATTTAGATGTGTGTAAATGTGTTGGACCGTATGGTATTGAAACTCTTGTGAACAGTGTTACACATCTTTTAGACAGTGCCCACGTGAACAAGTCGAAATTTCCACATTTCAATATTTTTACTTTTATTTTGTTTCAAACAATTGGCAAAATTGTGCCTAAAAATAAAAATATAATACAATGTATGTATGACGTCATGTTGATACAACTCAAGCAAATAACAAACGAGAAACTAAAAATTGACATACTTTGGCATAACTAAAACCGTAGGAGATGAGTCGTTAAACATAAACAAACCGGAAGAGAATAATCATAACTATACATAAATAGCAGCCGCATATTCATATAGTAGAATAACCACAATAATTCATAAACAAAAAATAACCTCGAAATGAATAGAATAAACCTATATCAAAAATTAATACAACTAAAATTCTATAATCTCAAGTAAATTTAACCTACATACATGACTATGCAATTAGAAAAATAAACGATAAACATTGAGTTCGAAAAGAAAAAATAAAAAGAAAAGAGCTTTTCGATTTGTTCTTCCCTAGCTTTCTAACTCATCTTTTGCTTGTTTTTAGCCTACAAAAATGTCTAAAACTCTCCTTAAATGTTCTCTAATGTCTCCTTAAATAGTTGGAGTCAAATCTTCATCAAAATAGCTCGAAAAATGCATCGAAAAAGGAAGAACGCATCAAACCGACTAAGTCACACAAGTCATGCGCTATTGGGTCGAATTCTACACGAGTCGTATAATCCAACCATCAAAACATGCAAAAAGTCACGCCCAAGTGGCACACGTGTTCGGCTCAGCTCAACTCAGTTCGTTAAGACTCGAGTTCGGCTCGGTTCGGCTGGTTTGATAAACAAGTCGAGTTCAAACTCATTTAAAGCTCGCTTAGTTAACAAGTCGAGCTCGGCTCGGCTCGATAAGACTCGTTAAGGCTCGGAAAGAGAATTGTTATATAAATTTTTATAGTTCGGCTCGTTAAAGCTCCATATCGGCTCGGACTCGGCTCGTTATGAGTGTTAAACGAGCTGAGCTCGAGCTTGATTTCATGCAAGCTCGTTTATTTAACGAGTTGAGATCAATTCGACTCATTTACAGCCCTATGTGGCACTCACCCAAAATAACACAACTCGTAAGAAAGTACAGAGCCTCCAGGACGGAACACTCACTTAACTTTAGCGGCACGTTTCATGACCCATTGGAAAGTGATTATATGGTTGGATAGTCCTTCAAGACTATTTTCCAAGTGTTGGATGTGCAGCTTCGAAATCCCATTATAAAATGGTTATTGTGTTGACGAACCAAAACATGGCACATTTTCTCGCAACTGTGGGTAGCAACTCTGCCCGACGAGTGAGCGCGCCCGACACGTCCAACAACAAGCTCAAGCACGCTAGGCAGTAGGGTTGTAAGTAAATCAAATGTTTTCGTGATTTGTATTCGTAAAAATCCGAATTCGAATTCGATAAAGTATAGTGTTGAGTATTCAAATTTATTCAAATTTGAATCATAATATGCACATATTCGATTCGAAATTTTAGAATATTCGATTTGTTGATAATAATTAAAAATATTATGTATAATAAAATAATTATTTATATAATATATATTATCAAGTATAAATATAAAACATAAAAATATATTTATATTTAAAAAAGCGTATTTAATTTTTTAAAAAATATATTTATAGTTAAAAATAAATATTATATTTAAAAAAATATATAAATAGTCTGGGAAGCGCGAATTTTGGATCGAATCAAATATATTGGATTATCGAATATCAATCACAAATTAAATTCGATAAAGAATCACAGATGAATACATATACAAATAGTCGAATATTTTCATGAATTCGAATCGAATAGTTGCGTATTCGCTTTGATTCGATTCGTTTACAACCCTACTAGCTAGCGATGGGAGAACACAAGCAGCAACAGCGAGTCTCAGGGGTCCTTGACCGGTGGCTTGGTCCGACTCGAGCCCAACTCGCACTAGTGGTAGTGGGTATAGCTAGGTCTCGGCTCGTCTCCAATTCATTTATAGCTGATATTTGGTTTGTTTAAATTTGTTTTTTCCCATTATTTCATGAAATCACTTTCATTCGACCATTTTTCTAGAACATTTGTTATAGTTTAATAAATTCAATAATATAAGCAAAAGTATATGAAAAACTACAACGAAACGAACATGAGAATCACTCAAACATACATGTAAAAACAACTAATGTCATTCAAAAATAAGCAAGGTTCCAAGTGTACACTTTGTTTATTTTTATTTTTTTGCAAGCTTCACATAAATAATAAATTAGTAATACATTCAATTGTCCTGAATGCCTCCAGGTTTCCATCCACAAGTCACCTTGCAACCCAACAGTTCTCCAACAAATCTTGCCAAGAAAAAACACAAACTATTAGCAAACTTCTTCCATAAATTAAAGACTGCACATTTTTTTAACTAAAGGTGCTACGCATTTCATCGAACACATAGCTGACACCCATCTACAAAGAAGTATCCTTCGTGCCCTGCTGTGTGCAAGTCAAGGGGACAAAACTACACAAAATCATCACACACCCATTGAGAAATTACCTTAATGCCCCTGGGCCTCTTCTTGGAAAGAGACGGGTGTCCTCTGTTCTGCAAGAACCTGAGCCGACAGAGCAAAATCACTTGATCTGTACATTGGCTGGCAAACCTCGTATAAAAATCACAATGCCCCTTCACATATTTCATGTCCAATTTGTGATTTTGTTGTCCAAAATTTTAGCTTTTTTCAAGAAAAAAAAAAAAGGGAATCTTGATGGCTGGTAAAATGGTAGGTGGATTTCAAGATTTGCTGCCATTCATGGCCGATAAACTCGGCGGGGATGGATTAATCGGGGAGCTTTGTAAAGGGTTTAATCTGTTGGTTGATAGGGAAAAAGGGCTCATCACCTTTGAGAGCCTGAAGAAAAATTCGGCCCTTTTGGGGCTGCAAGATTTGAGGGACGATGAGTTGCAGAGCATGGTGAGGGAAGGAGATATCGACGGCGATGGGGCCCTCGACGAGATGGAATTCTGTGTGCTGATGTTCAGGCTAAGCCCTGAGCTGATGCAGCAATCCGAGGCCCTATTGGAGGATGCTCTAGAGCAGGAGTTAAGGGCTGCTCGTGAATGCTGTAAAAGAAAGTAGTGATTTTTTTTTTTATTTTTTTATTTTTTTTACTTAATGTGGTACTTCTGAATTTTGTCATATACTTTGTTGTTTGACAATTTTTAAGGAACTGATGGAGAATTTCATGTTTTATGTGTTTGTAATTTTGTATAATCTTTAGGATTCGAATTAGGATTCTCAGATGTCCTAAGTCTCAGATGTCCTGAACATATATTCGAATTAGGTGTTTTAGTAGCTACACGTCTTGGTAGGAGTAAGCATCGATGCGGTTCAGTTACCACAAAAAACCGAAAATCTAAATTTTGTATACCAAATCGCACCGCAAGAAAAAAAAAAATAAACAAACTGAACCAAACTAAAATTTTTGGTTTGGTGTGATTTGGTTTTTCAGCCCGCAATTACAAAAAATGTGAAAACCATACAAATTAAACGCAAGTCAAACACAAATCAAAGTTCACTAAATTATTCTTTTATGTTTAAACTTTAAAGTTAATTAATTATAAATGTTAAATCGCGTAAGACTTTAAGAGTAGTAACTTTATTTGACACATCAAAGTTTCGGTACGGTTCGGTTAAAACCGTATCGTTCATACTCAAAACTGAATTGTACCGAATTTTTTGTGGTTTTCTAAATTCATACCGCAGTGTAAATCGAATCTTTTAAAAACCGAACTGCATCGCACCGAATGCATCGATTCAGTTCGGATTTTTGGTTTCAAATTCAATACGATCGATCTATGAGGAATGAAATTCCGAGGAGTCTGTCTACTAGGAGAGGAGACACATTGGTGGAAGAAAAATAAGATATTGAGTATCTTTTAAATATGTTCCTTAAATTGATAAGATTTAGTGCACATGTAAAATTTCGCAAAAGAGATAAACTTATTGCTGTATAATAGAATCTCAAGTATGAAAACCTTAATCACAAATTTTTATTATTCTCTTGCATTGCCTTCCAAAGTTTATTTTAAAGTACGTAAATTAATTTGAACGTCTGAGACTCCTCTCAACACTTTATAGATTATTAAAACCGATTCATGAGTATGAGGCTACAAATCAAAGATATACCATGTAGGAAAAATATAAAAATTAAATTACAAAAAAAATTATGAAGAATTAAAAAACAAGTAGGTATCTGAGGCCATCCATGTGGCCTAGGTGATGAAACTCGTCGGGCTCCCACATGACATGACTTGGGACATCACAAATTTTTGTCAAGTAGACCTAATTAACTATTGTTATTAGTTATTTTCTTATCAAATCTAACATATTCCTCTTTATACAAATCTAGATTTTTCAAAACAAAATGATTTTAGATTATGTGCTTTATCATAAATTCATATGCCGCATACCAAGCAGCAGCCGTGATTGCGTTGATAATAGCCAAAGCCAAATGTCCCAACCCAACTGGTAGGGGTTTACTATACTCTCTGTACTCTCTACTCCTAATTGGAAACCAAAAGAAAATTCCCTTCATAAATCGAAAACCCTCTTTCCCTTTCCTTCTCAGGCCTCTGCCGGCGAAAATCTCGGCTTCAGTCTCTGCAAACTCAGGCTGATTTTTGGAAACCAGAGGATGAAGGTAGGGAAGCTCTTTTGACTGTGTAAAACCCCCGACTGTATTTTGCTGAAAAGAGGGAGCTTTTGATGGGTAGCATCGAGCCATTCAATCGGTACTTCGCAGTGAACTGAGCTCTCGTCTCGTTCTATTTAAGATTTCTTTTTTTCTTTTTTTGGAAATTTTGACTGACTGTTATGTTGTTGTGGTTTATCGTCATGGAAATTGAAAATTTTGGTCATAGGCTGGTTAAGCTGGCGGCGAGGGCTTTTTACGACGACATTAGTACGAAAGGTGAAAATCAGCCCAAGACTGGGAGGGGCGACAACAGAGGGATTGCTGTGGTTATTCTCGATGCTCTTACTCGGTAACTTCAGTTCACAATTCTTTTTTTATTCCACATTTGGGGCAAAAAGATGACATGTTTATGTTATTTCTCTTTTGGGTTTTGTATGCTTTTGCTTTGGTTAATTTCCATGCCCTTACTCGGTAACTTTACTTCATAGTCTGTTCACATTTGAGGGGGGAAAATTATTTTTTCTATGTTATTTCTCCTTTGGGTTTGTAGGCATTTGCTGTGGTTATTCTTGATGATCTTACTTGGTAACTTCACGTCATAGTTGTTTGTTTGTTTGTTTGTTTTTTTCACATTTTGGGGAAAAGATGAAATATTTATGTTAATTCTCTCATGGGTTTGTCTGCTTTGTGTTTGATAATTGTAATACTAGCTTTATGATTGCGTACTTCTACTTGAGTCCGTGTAAAACGTTGGTTGATGGTGCAAAATGTTTGGATGGCAGTTGAATTGATGACACGCAAAATCACGCGGTTTAAACTATTGGTAACACACTGCTTGACTATGGATTGGGTACTTGAGTATAATTAATTATTTCAAATTTGGGTTGTACATAAGTAAACATACTGAATCTGACTTCGTCACTTTTAGCAATCGCATATTGCCTCTAAAAACCAAACATTACAGTAAATGATACAATAAAGACCAGATAGATTTTTATTTGTGGAATTTTCAATGTTATGAAATGATCAGATATAACACTCTCGGTTTTGAAATTGTTTTAAAGTTGAATTCTGGAAAAGATAAAATTTAGAGAAGTTCTTGATAACTTATGTACGTATATACACAGGCGTCAGTGGGTGAGGGAAGAAGATTTAGCAAAGGACTTGAAGCTTCATACGAAGCAACTTCGTCGTACGCTGAGGTTCTTTGAAGAGGAAAAGCTAGTCACTCGTGATCACCGGAAGGAGGTCAGCTTTGCTGGTCAAGCATAATTTTGTAATTATGATTATGATTGCAGAATATCATGTATTAGCTCTTTTTTTAGAGTCTTATATTTGCTTCGCCATATAGGAAATGATTATGACTTCATTGACATGTGGCTGTACACGTGTCTATGTTACAAACATGTTATTATTATTGGATATTGTGCATTTTAAATATATTTAGAAATCAGATAGGAAAACGACAAATCGGGATTGCCTGTAGAATCTACTTAATTCTTTCAAGTAAATTGTGAATCCCTCAATCGTGATTCGAGTGAATTAAAGCATTTATCTTGCTTGCCACAGGGACCTGCTAAAAAGGAAAAAAAGGTATTTGTACATATAAAAAAGGGACATTTGAGGTGGTTATATTGGGACTAGATCAAGACATCAGTAAACGTGGGGTTTAAGGATGGCAAAAACTGACCATGTATTTTTGTCCAGTAATGGAAATGATCACTTTTATTGTTGTAAGAGGACTGAATTCACTGGTTATATTCGGATAGATCAAGACATGAGTAAATATGGGGTTTAAGGATGGAAAAGAAAAAGAAAAAATCAATGTAAATAATCGCATTTCATTGTTGTAAAAGGAATGAACTCACTGGTCCTTAGTGATGGACCAAACCAATTTTTTCTGAGTCATACTTATGTAGTTTATATCAGATAAATGGAAAACAGATACAATAATCACTGTTCTTAAAATTAGCGAGCTCTCTCATACCTGGCACTTTCTATTTTCTTGGAATTAGTTCAGAAATAAATTTTACTACAACTTGACTTTGCGCAATTGCATTTCTCCAGTGCTCTCTTATATTTGTTCTAGCATTGTCCAAATTATTGTTTTGATCTCTTTGCAGACAGCCAAAGGGGCAAAAGTATACAATGCTGCAGTAGCTGCCACTGGTGAAGGTCAACAAACTGGAAGAGAAGGGGACGAAAAACTCAAGATGCATACTCACTCATACTGTTGCCTAGATTATGCACAGGTTTAAAGCTCCCCAAATTACTATAATTAGACAATACATTGTCATTGACTGATAATGGTTTTACATAGTCATTTTAATGTAGAAGGACTTCATATTTGTAGGTAGTCACAGCATAATTTCATCAATCAGATTGTTCTGTGCCTCATGAAAAAGCCACCTATGTTGTTTTGTTAACATGATTGTGTATTTTAGCTAGAAAGAAGATTTTGTAATATAAAAGGTTTTACTGGTTGATACGTAATGAAAAAACATGGGGCCTTAGCGTGCGAGAAGATTTTGTGAATATCACTAAGGGGATATTATTAGATTTGCTTTCTTGTTTAGTGTTGGTACAAGTTCTTTTAATGAAAAAAAAAATGAGACTATAGGTGCAATGTCTATGCTGGAGACAAATCAAGACGATACATATAGATTTTAATCCCATCCCAGGTAGCTGTTCAATTAACTCGATCTACTTATTTGCAGATATACGATGTGGTAAGGTATAGATTGCACCGAATGAGGAAAAAGCTGAAGGATGAACTAGAGAGCAAGAATACAGTTCAGGAGTATATATGCCCCAATTGCAGTAAGAGGTATCGGTCAGAAATTTTTTTTTCTAATTTTATTGAGAATGATTTCAATTTTCAACATTAAATGTCATAAATACAATCATTTGAATTCCTATTCATATCTCTATAATCAAGCTCAGTATATGCAATAAAAGGACAGATAATATTTTGTTTCCTAATCTAATCCTCGTCGTCATGCTGCCTAAAAATATGCTAAACATATCCATTACATGCACAGATGACAGATTAAACAACATACTAATCACAAAATCCCCGATTGACAGGATATCAGCCAATAACAATTATTTTCTTCTTTTATTTCATTTTGTTTTTCTTTATTTTTCTATTACTTCTTTTTTTTTTTTT